GGAGTGCAGTTCAGAAACAAAGAGCTTGAGTAACCAAGAAAAACAGCTGAGGCAAAACCCCTCCTGGGTGATGTCAGAAGGAAGAAGGTAGGGAGCAATGATTTGCTCTGCCTTAATAATAGATGAATACTTGTTGGTTGAAGAATAACTCTGGCAACATAACTAATAGATTCTGAAGTTTTGCCTCCAGAAGATAAAAATCCTTGTGACCATTTCGCCCACCCTCTTGTGTGAAAAATGTCTCTTGGTGATTTCCACTTTGAGCCCAGTGCTCACTGAGATAGAGCACTTCTCTCAGCAGGTTGTCCCAGAGATGACCTCTACCTCCCTGCCTAAGGTCTGCAATGCCTTGAATTGTGAAAAACCTGCCTTTATTTCTACTGTCAACTAGAGTTACACCTGACAAGGGATGGCAGCTTAGCTTGAAAGGCCTGGAAGGTGACAGTCTCCAACTGCCATGAATCAGCGTTTGAAGGTAAAAGGTCTGTGTTCACAAGCAGCTGAGTCCATGCAGCACAGGCATGGAAGAAGCACTAGTCCCAACAACCTCTGCAAGCTAAATTAGTCCTTCATCACTCAGAGCTTGCAATGCAGCTTCATATCCCAGCCTTTAGAGTTTGTCCTTCATTTGCCTGCTCAATTAAAGCATCTCCCACTCTCAGAAATCTCTGTTCTATCTGAGCAGAGGAAGCTTTACGAAGTACCCTCTTAACTTTAACTTAGCTAATGCACAAGCTATCCAAGGTTGACTACAGAGCTGTCAGTAAGATGGTGGGATGTGACAGATACTGTCACTATCCCATTACATTTTCCTTCCTCTGGCATCATTTTTATTAGCAGTAGGTGCCCCATGCCCAGGGAAGTGCTGTGTGTGAATACCCAGACGGGTGAGCTGTGGCTGAGTTGATTACTTCAACAGCTGCCTGCTTGTAAAAGCAGTAAGTAGCAGAGTAGACAACACGCAATGCTGCTGAGATCTCAGCCATCATCACAGCTATTTTAGCGCAGCCATAACAAGCAAATGCATAGGTAGCCCTGAGCAATACAAGACAAAACAACAACAAGCAGCTCCTCCCTCCGCAATGCTTCGAGACCAGTAATGGAAAGGGGAAAAGTGCAGACTAAGTAAAACGCTATGTTTGGGTTAATGCTTAGGTTATGTTCACAGTGTTTCATTTAGGGTTAAATATACTGCACTGGGCTTCTAAGGAGGACCGTTGATCAATAGCTTTATTTTGTAAGTCCGATTACTTTATATAAAAATGCATGCCTTGCTAACCACTATCCTTGAACAGGAGCTAAAAGACTGATAAAAGGGCAACATCCTGCCCCAGAAGGTGGTGAAAGCTGGATGATTTCCAAGGAAGCATGAAGTCAACAAAAGTTTGCAGTAACTAGGGGAAAGGTAAAGGTGGCGAGGGGAGATCATGACCACCGACTCAAGTGAAGAACTGTGCAGATTACCTCCACACACACCACCCTCAAGGAGCATGCGTGTTAATTTAAATATGTTTAAACAATAGCAGATGATATAGTAATTACTAACCAATGAGTGTAAATTTAAGCAGGTTTTTCTAATCCTGTAACAAGATACATATGTTGTCATTTCTATGCGTAGCGTGCTAACTTTGTGGAATTACCATCTAGCACCCATCTCTGCACAGACATGAAATAAATATCTTGGCTCTGTGTGTAAGATTGGTTTATTGCACACCGAGTACCAGACTCTGCTGGTGGGACAACACGAGGTGCAAACTCACTTGCCCAGTGGCAGTTAGCAAACAGTCAACAGGGCTGGGAAGTGAACTCCCGCACTGGGTTTAGTGGCTTTTCAGCCAGTGCTCAACGCATGCGTGGCTCACTATGGGAAAGGTGTTTGTCACAGCACTACTGCAGATGAACCCATTGCATTGTCAGAGCCTACAAACAATTCAGATATGGCTGTCCAGCAGTGAACTGCTTGGCTCTAGAGGGAAAAATCAGCCATTCAAACCTAGGCCTGACTCCAAAAGTCAGGACCTGCCATTAGCATTGCTGATAGCACCAGGGCATGTGCCTTCAGCCAGAGTTAACAGGGCACATAGGCAACCCTCCAAATGGGTCCTGATGGCTTTTTTCACAGTAAACACCATGCAACTTTTACAGTGTCAGGTTCCAGTGGTGAAGTGCATCGATGTGCTAGAAATCTTTACAGCGGGCAGATTTTGTGTATCTCTGCAAACTGCTTGTCCTCTTTTGCCTGAGCCACCGCACCTGAAGAAGGGAGGCCAGGGATTTTGCTCTGAGTCGGCACGTTCTTGCAGAGTAAAAGCACATGTGAAAGGACTAAATCAGCCTCTTCTGCCACACATGGAAGGCAAAGGAAAAGTGAAAGCCTGTCAGTATCTGCTTGCTGTTTGAGCTTGGCAAGTTGACACCTTCCTTGGCCTGTTCATGTTAGATACAATTAGGTACATTCCCTAGTGGCACTGGAACAGGTTGCCCAGAGAGGTTGTGGATGCCCCATCCCTGGAAGTGTTTAAGGCCAGGTTGGATGGGGCTTTGGGCAACGTGGTCTAGTGGAGGCTGTCCCTGGCCATGGCAGGGGGGTTGGAACTAGATGGTCTTTGAGGTCCCTTCCAACCCAAAACATTCTGTGATTCTATGATTCACAAACTTTCTGCTCCGCTTCCAGCTGGCTTCCTTGTCACTAAGGCAAGTACCTCAGCTGGTCTCTCTGGCCTCTCCATCTGGATGCCTCATCAGCCGCTTGTTATGGCCCAGTTTGAACTTTGCCTTCCTCTGCAGCCTTTCCCAAAGGCAGCACCCACTCTACCAGCAGGGCAGGTGTGGCACAATCCCTCCTGCCACCTGCTCACTGAATGATTGGTTTTGCCTCCTAGCTAAGCCTGCTTCCCCAGACCTTTCTGCCCCATAGCAAAGCAGCTCTTTAAAGGATGACCTTGCCAGCTGACCTACTGCTCTCGTCTCCAGTGGGGACATGCACTTATTACCCTCACCTCTGAAGACCTTTCCCAGATACATGTTTGCAGGTATGTTAACTCTCACACCCGATTACCTGGCCTGTCAGTTTTTTGGAAGAACAAAAGTTTGGAAATGTCAAAACATTTTCATTTGGGGTCAGTTAGTTTTCAAATTGCATCTGACTATGTTAACATATGTCATCTTTCTACAAGTATTGGACTTTAACAGGAGTGCATATACCATGACTACAGCCAGCCACAGGCATGCTGTGATGCCGCATGACTACGTAATTCTATTAGCAACATGGCACCATGGGCAGCGTAAATTCAAGGAGGAAATATGAACTTCACTGGATGAGGTGAGAGAACTGCAAGGTCATGGGCCCGAACTGTTAACATCAGTCTAACAAACATTGCAACTTGGGAAAACCCGACACAAAGCAAAATGGTTTTTGTGTTTTGTTTTTTTTTTCCTTGGAAAATGTTGACAAAATGGAAATTTACAAGAAATATCTTTATGCAGAAAGCCACATTTTCATCTTAAAATAATTTGTAAGGAGAATTTATATCTAACTTGAATTTGGAGATGCTTCATAGCCATGCCTTGTGGCCTGTACTTCATTTACAACCGTGTTTAGTTTGCTGCTGCTTTGAGAGTGCAAGATGACTCCCAGCCCACCAGACACTCTTGTGGTTTGATTTTTTTCTTTTCTCCTCTCTGCTCAAGGCTCCTGACTCTAGTGAGCTCTGGAGTAGGGCCTCTGTTAGTAATCCTCCAAGACTGCCTTTTCATCCCTCCAAACTTGCCATGGGCAACTTTGTCCACTTCAAATATCTTCTCTATGCAGGCAACTCATTCCTAAGTTTCTTTCTTCCAGACAGACCTTTTCCCTTCTACCCATATTTTAACAACTTGTGTAGAAGATAAATGGCTTTCTCTAGCCTGAGCTGCAGCACTGCCTCTGTTTTCTGCAGTATGAAGGGCATCCTTTTTCTGTTTGTGGCTCTTCCCTCCACGCTTACACAACAATGTAACTACCTGGAAATCATCAGCATTTCTATTTTGATCAAATCATTCATCCAGTCACTCAGACTTGTTCATGCTGGATTGAGCACACATAAAGGAGATTCCCCATCCGAGCTGCATTCTGGGAGGCTGGACGGCACCAAATAACCTGTGGTGCCTTCCACTCCTCTGCACTTAAACAGGGCCCCCAGTTTCTCAGACCCTTTGCCTATAGATTCTTTTCAGACAAGGACATGCATGCTAAACCCTTGAGGAGTGAACGTGCATTAATCTCTATAGGAGCAGGATCTCCATTTTTTTAACTTCTGTGATTAAGAGTAATGCTGGGACACGATGAACTTGGCCTGTTATATACTTCTGTAATGCTGCCTGATGTGCTTCAGTTATTCTACTGCTCCATTTCCACACTAGCAGGATACTGGCACAGGAATCACTGCACACACACACCCCCAAAAAAAAGATAGAAAAATTGATGTTGTGAGCTGACTTGTCTGTCAGGAGAAAGAACTCAGCATGCTTAGTTGTTCCTGTCAGATGGCAATAATAAATCTACTTGCCTTAGATTTATTCACTCAGAGTACTGTCAAGCAATTCTATCACATGATGCTGTGCTTATTTCAAGGTTTGGATGGTTTCTGGTAGAGATGTTAAAACCATACAGCATCCATTTCTCCTGCTGCAGAATTAGTCCTCAGCCAAGAAACTGAAGTTGTTTCATCTCTGCATATTCTGACAGACTCAGGTGAGCACCAGGCAATAAGTAAAGCAGCTGCTTTTGGCTGAGTGTTCTTTAAGTAGTGGGTGGAGGGCTGAGCGAATTCCGCCCCCCCGCTCCACACTGGCTGCCCTGTCTCTTGCTTTCCCTCTCTCTCCTGCATTCATATACATTCCCCCAGAGGCAAGGGTGCGGGTGACTGGAAATAAAGTCATCTGATAGGATGCTGCCCAACTCCTTTCCCTCTGCACAGCATAAGCTCTAGGAGAGCTTTCGCCTGGTGATAGTGGAAGCAACTCTGCAAGGCTTTGCTCTCCTCAGCAGACTGCAGAGTTTGCTGCAAATGCAAAACTGAAATCCATCTTTGTACCGCCTACTTACCATCCAGGGGGCTTGTATGTCTTCTTGCCTTCTGTTTCTTTCCCCAAACCTCTCTTCTCAAAAGGAAGCTCTATTCTGCTGCTAGCAATGCATCCTGAGAGGTGGCTATGTTGGTATTACCCTGCTCTCTGTGTGTGGGTATTCATGTTCACATCCTTGATTAAAGGTAGGCTCTCTTTGATACTAGTGTCTCAAATATTTTCTAGTCACTGTCTCTGCTTCTGTTTTACTGGAATGAATTACATGTAAAGCTTCTACCAGCTATTTGTAACCTGAAACCGTAACATTTCAACAGTATTTTAAAAGAGCTAAATCAATACTCATTTTCACACATAAAACTCTTCATTTTGATTTGATAACTAATTGAGGAACTGTTTCTAGCAAAGAATGAAAATGAAATTGGAGTTGTAGTAATTTTGTTTGGTGCATGAATTTTGCAATTGCTTAAATAATGCATGTTTGGTACTCACACCTTGGAAAGTGAGAACTCGATATGTTTTTGTTCACTGTTGTTTGTGATCTATGGTTAAATATGCTGGAGTGATTTCTATGCACAAGTCAATTTCTGCTTTTAAGTCACTACATCTTTTTTGAAAAACTCACTTCTGGTGATGACCAAGCCATGTATGAATTACAGTGCTTGTGTTAACAGGGCATAGGGCATTGCCTTAAAGCAGCACCAATGGGATGAGAACCTGTAGCTGAAGTATAAAAATGAAAGGCCTAAATACTTCTCTGCTTCTGTTACTTTATTTTCAAGCATGTGTCTGTTAAGAAGCCAGTAGGAAAATTTCAAATTAAATATGATTTTAGATTCGCTGTGTTTAGTCAGGAGACTTTGGTAAGAAACTTATGTTCCCACAGTAGGCTACTTCTAGTCACAGTGCTATTGATGATGAGGAGGAAATCTGAAAAGGAAATGGCAATTTCCTTTTTGAATGGCACAATACATGATATACAAACATCCAAACTTCGCAGATATGCATGCATCTTCTCTGGATGATGCTAAAAGGATGAAACAAAACATCAAGAAATGGAAGTTTTACTAGAATTTTCTTTCATTTGCGTAAATCACCAGTAACCAACATTTCAGCTTCTAATTGTTATAATCCCCTGAATCTGAGCATGCTTTGAATCACCTTAGAGGCAGGGATGCAATTTTTTTCAAATACGGGGGATGGGTGGCCTAAGCATGAAAACAGTGGTCTGTGCTGAGACTGACCACCTCCCTGTAGGAGATGTGTGCAACCGCAGGCACTTGTGTTCACTGAAGGAAATGTAAGTTGCAAATTTATGTCCTACGCTGTGCCAGAGACCATGCTGCCTTACACAAACACCTTCTACATTTAAGATTTTTGCAGTCATAAAGGCTTATTGCTTTCCTCACATGTTCTAGGCAGTCTGGGACTAACACAAAAACTTATGACCATGTGTCTGAAAAACTAATTTTTCCTCAGTTGTATCAGTAGTATCTTTGGCATTATCATACAGCTTTGATAACACAGCTGTGCTTGATATGAGGAACAAGTTCTAAATCTTTGACTTAGAAAGTATTTTGAATTTAAGTGCTGAATTATAGTGGTGCATTGAAATAGCAAGGTTATTCAAGAAAAGTATTTTTCTGAGCTGATGTCACCAGAGTCCACATGACTTAGTCTTTCCTTTTGAAATAAAAGTCTGTAGCCTTTAGCACTATGAAAATAACTATTTCAAGATTAGGCTGTATGTAACAGATTAAGAGCATTCTTCTTGACTTCGCAGTGAGGCAGCTCAGTGCCTGTCATAAATCTTATTCCTGCTAAACCATCTCATCTGCCCTGCATTGACTGGGGGTTTCAGCTATGATCTGCTTGTTCCCAAAGAACGGCTCTATATTACAAAGATTTATGCTGTTCCATAAGAAATTTTAATATTTCCACTTTTTTTCTCATAGAACTTAAAAAAAATTAGCTTTCTTCTGAGCAAAAGTTGTCCTATCTAAAGAGCTGAAATAGCAAACATGAGGATAAAAGTCATAGTTTTTAAGACTAGGAGGCATCATTATAATCACCTAATCAGAGTGCCTGGCATCAAATTTGATGCAGTAGTTGCAGCCTCAATCTTTTAATTTCTGAGTAAGTAGCTATGCTTTTCATAAACTCTCAGTTTTACCATAAGAATTCCCAAAGATGAAATCTACCACATTTGAACTTTTTCTACTTCACACCACCTTTTTCTGCTTTGTTTTGGTGTCAGGGTGGGCCACATGGAGGCCCATAGGCTAGATCCTATTTAGGAGACGTCTCCATTCAGACCCTTACCTTACACTTCAAGCAGACAGGGAGCAGTGGGCAACTGTCCTGCAGGAGAATGCTTTTGACTGACAGCGTACTGGCAGCCCTCTTCTCCTGTGTCCTGATACACGGTCACAAGCACAGGATCCAGAAATATAGCATAGGCTAGTATGTTATCCAGCACCTGCTTTCCCTCTTCCTTACCTCTGACATAGCTGTTGTCTTTACCAACACAGATACCACAGCCTGCGAATCAGAGGAACGGTTGTTTCACAAACTCTTCTCCCAGTACAACCAGTTCATCAGGCCAGTGGAAAACGTGTCTGATCCTGTCACAGTGTATTTTGAAGTGGCCATTACCCAGCTTACAAATGTGGTAAGACTCATTACAGAATACTGCTGAGATTTGGGGATAGTTGCAAATGCACACAAATTGCTAAAGCAGCAGATGTAATTGTTATGATTGCACCTACAACTGTCATAGCTGACACTGTCATGTATGCATTTGTGTACATGTTGAGACCTTTGCTGTTCTGTCAGCCGAGTTGCTCCAGTTGCTCGAACGAGCAGTTCAAACTATGCAGACTCATTTTCTTATTCTGTAGCATCAAACCCCTCCACCCCAGGCAGCAGCCCCTGGCGCCCTGAGCAGCAGTACCAAATGTTCAAGTCCACTCTGCACAGGGCTGGCCCACTCCAGAGACACCTGGTTTTGTCCCCATCGTGTAGCAACAACGGCGTGGTTCTTTTGGGGGAGCAGTGTCATTTCACAGTTGTCCTGAGAGATAAAATCTATTTTTTATTTTTTGGCAAGCTTTTTCATTCTATTTGTCTCAAAAAAACATAAGAGATGTTCAGCCTGCAGAATGGTGTTTTAAAGCATGGAGCTGGGGATGAATGGTGTGTGTTCTGGGGTGTGCTGTGTACAAGGGTGAGTGTGTCTGAGGTGCAGACCTGCTGGGCAGACTGAGGAGAAAGGAAAACCTGACCTTAACCCTTGGTGAAGTCTGATCTGTGAAGCAAATTATCCACAGAACAGAGGCTGAGTTTTGATTTTGAGGTACCTAGCCGAACCCATAATGAAGTGACAGGCAAACAGTGAGGAGCAACATTCAACAGCAGCCAGGGATATAAGTTACCTGAGGGTATAAACGAAGGCACTGTAAGTCCTCATGGTGAAGGCAATTTTCTCCTCTTTGAATTCCTTTGTCAAAGTATTTTGTTTCCATGTAGCTTGGCAGGTTTCAGCAGTTTTGTCTCACATTGCAGTCCCTGGCTCCCAGTGCTGTCTTTGAAGTAAAAAAGGAACATCGAAAGTAATTCAGTTGAATTTTCTCAAGAAAGAGTCATGATTTTCACAAGAACTTAGATAATTTAACCCGTAGACAGGAACCCTACAGGTCTTTCAAAATGATCTTTTTGCTTAATCTCCGGTACACAATATTGAAAATTCATCTACAACATTTTCTACCTTTGGCTTGTAAATATCTTAAATGCATTGACTCCACATGCTTAAAAGTTAAGAATTACCCAAAGCAATATTCTTGCAGATATTTTTATTGTGAATGTCAGCCTGCATTCATAAATACATGTAATTTGAGTCTTTCCAAATACTTCTAGGCTGAAGGCTTGTTAAAACAGGATCCAATCTTTTATTTTTGTGTCTCTTGCAGCACCTTCCTGATTCATCGCTGACTGGCAATACCAATAATTCACTGTAAAAAGAAGATCTCAGTACAACAGTGACCTAATTTAGTGCTGGTTTAGTGCATCTGCTCTAGAGATTTGCATAGGAATGCAAGAACACTGTGGTACAGATGCCATTTTCCTTTAATCTTTACCAGTACTATGCTGTGTAAACAGAGCTTTTTAAACACTGAATCCAACAAAACACATAGCCACTGGCAGAACCTTATTCCTGTGGTACTGATGAGAGCAATTGTAAGTTTTATGTTCTTCAGGTACTCAGGCCCCTGGCACAATAGTGCAACTCTTTGTATGTCTGATATTTGTGGGGTGTAATTTTTCAGTAGAGCTTTAAATTTTTTTCAGTAGAGTACACAATATGTAAGCCCCCTGAAAACAGCCAGAAAAAAAACCCTGGTATCAGTTAATGTGGAATTCTAGTTTCCATTTTCAGCAGAATAAGTTTGTGGCCATTTCAGGGTACTGTAACTGATTTATGAAGATATACATGCCTGTGTTTCTTTCTAGGATGAAGTCAATCAGATTATGGAAACAAATTTGTGGCTAAGACATGTAAGTGACTGCTTTGCATTTCTCATGCATTTTGCATTGATGTGATTAAATGTATGTTACCTTGTAAGCTGCATCTATAGAATAAGCACTTATTTTGTAACAAGGATTTTAAAGGAGAAGTTCCATTAACTAAAGCCACATTTGAAAAAGTAATGTCTTTATTCTCATTTCCAAGAAGTAACATCTCCCATCTTTCCTGTGTGGTATGTTCTCCTCCAGCTTCATGATCATTGGTTATCTGGTAAATCTAGCTGGATGCACCCATTACAGAGTGATTAAATGTGCAGCTCTGCCATCCTAGCTCATCTCCATATTGAAGATTCAAACCAAAACATTTATTAGCAAAACATGCCTCCATTTTTGCATCATGGTTTTAGCATTTACACATAGACAAAGATCCTTAGAGGACCTAAACTGCTGAGAAAAACAAGCCAGCGTTCACCAAAGCCAGTTTCCTTCAGGCACTGATTGTGGTCACACAAAGCTTTCTGTAGAAGATACTGTACTTACGATCAAGTAGGCTGCGAGAGCACAGAGCATGGCCCCGTGGTAGGGCACTAGACAGCAATGCGGGAGAGCTGCTGGGCATCCCTCGCTGCCCCTGGCTTGGTAAGTCACTACCCCTGTGGAACCAATAATGTCCCCTGCCTGTTAGTGTGCGTATGCACCTCCTCTCTCGTTAGGACACTGTTCTTCTTTGAGTCTAGCCTCCTTTAGCCTGCAGGGTGCTCACTTATGGCAGCAGCAGCAAGGCCTGCATTTCCTCTCTGCAGTGGGAAGGTCGACTTGCACAGGTAAGGGTCTATACTGATGCGGCAAGGCAGAGGAGAGATCTCAGCACGTCAACAATGGATAACAATTGACATTCCATCCCCTCACAGAGGAAGGAGTAGCAAATCAATGTGAGCAATATTCATATATATGTCCGGTGTATCTCCAGGTGATGGCCTTGTTCTCTTTCAGACCATTGTCCCCTTCTACACATGCTGCACTTTCAGTCTTTATCATAGCCTGTCATTTTACAGAAAGATCTGAGAAGCAGGTATTTACTGATAATACAAGGTTTTAAAATCCTTGTCCATTCTTCTTTCAGATTTGGAATGACTACAAATTGCGATGGGATCCAAGAGAATACGATGGCATTGAATTTGTTCGGGTACCAGCAGATAAAATTTGGAAACCAGATATTGTCTTGTATAATAAGTATGATGAACACTTTTCCATTTTACCCTTTCTCTCAAAAGTATCTTCTTGCAGTGTCCATGAAAGACATTTTACTTTCATTGTGATTTTTTAGTTTGTCTCATTTGTGTTTCTAGTGCCGTGGGAGATTTTCAAGTTGAAGGCAAGACCAAAGCCCTCCTTCGCTATGATGGAATGATCACCTGGACCCCACCAGCTATTTTTAAAAGCTCCTGTCCTATGGATATTACCTTTTTTCCATTTGATCATCAGAACTGTTCACTGAAATTTGGCTCATGGACCTATGACAAAGCCAAAATTGATCTTCTGATCATTGGATCCAAAGTAGATATGAATGACTTTTGGGAAAATAGTGAATGGGAAATAGTTGATGCTTCTGGCTACAAACATGACATCAAATATAACTGCTGTGAAGAGATCTACACAGACATAACATATTCCTTTTATATTCGAAGGCTGCCAATGTTTTACACAATAAATCTGATCATTCCTTGTCTCTTCATCTCATTCCTGACTGTGTTAGTTTTTTACCTGCCATCTGACTGTGGTGAGAAAGTGACTCTTTGCATCTCTGTGCTCCTTTCTTTGACTGTATTTTTACTGGTGATCACAGAAACAATCCCATCCACCTCTTTAGTAATTCCCCTCGTAGGTGAATATTTACTCTTCACTATGATATTTGTGACTCTGTCAATTGTCATCACGGTGTTTGTCCTGAATATACATTACAGGACTCCAACCACACACACAATGCCCAAATGGGTAAAAACTGTCTTTCTTAGCCTGCTCCCCAAAATCCTCTTGATGCAGAGGCCACTAGAACAGCAGAAAAAAAGCATCTCCAGAAAAAACAAGAAAGGATCAGGCAATGCGCCAGGCAAATCAAAGCACAGCAAACACAAAGATGCCAAATTACACAAGGAGCGGCGATGTAGTCACTGTGATAAGGCAACTGAACTCACTACCACCAAAAGAAGACGACTGAGCCATCAGTCACTGAAATGGATGGCAGAGCACATGGAATACTCCCCTGAAGTGAAGGTTGTCATTAGCAGCGTTCAGTTCATCGCAGAGAACATGAGATCTCAAAATGAAACCAAAGAGGTAAGAAAGACAGGTAACCACCCAGCTAGGCATGGGGCCACGCAGCAAGTGGAAACATGATCTAGGAGAGCAGCCCAGAGGAACTGGAGTTGTTGGGTCTAGAGAAGGAAATTCTGAGAACTGTGAATGGGTCAGTTTCCTACAGAAAGGGAGCAGATGAATCATCCATTGGGGATGGAACAAGAAAAGTTATCTCATCTGTTCTTCCTCTATCCCCAGTGGATAATTTAAGCAGCAAGACAGTTTTAGATTAGACACTCACCCTTCAAACGAAAAGAGGAGGATCATCAGCCCATTGCAGCTATGAGGAATGAACTTTGATCAGCAGTGGTTCAGGCAGAGTTGATCCTGCCATGGGACAGGAGATAGACTAGACAGGACCTTCCAAGGTCTCTTCTTCTATTTCTGTAGATCCTCAGAAGCAACCCTCTTCCACTGCTCACCAACTACCCAGCCCTGGTAAGAAGTGACATCTCAATACTAAGCATGCTACTTGCCAAGCAGGGTGCTTTTCTGTGTTAGGAATGGAACAAGCAAATTTGGGAACTGCATTTTAAAGAACAGGGCTTGTCTAGCAGCACAGTAGTTGATCTGAAGAACTATTCTCAGCCAGTGATAAATCTCGTGAAGATCTTCCTTTCAGAATGCTGTTGTTGGTACTTTGTTTCAGTTTGGTATGTTCTGAATTTTTTGCAGTGACTTGACTAATTGTGACTTCAGCAATACAGTATTTTCATCCATGACAAACATATGTTGAAATGAAAGCTGAGTTTTGGGGAAAGGCAGCTGAATAAAAACAGACAACAGGTGAATAAAGACAGATTTAAAAAAAAAAGGAGAGAGTTTTAAAAATTAGACTTGGCATTTGAACTAATGGTTTTGCTTGTGGAGGTTATAAATCTTTTATCCTAACTCGGATTCTGTCACAGAAAATGATGCACATTGGAATTTAGAGAATTCTGGGGCCACGTCCTGAGGTGTAAACACAAGCAACTAAAAGCAGCTCCAAGAAAGATTATCTGACATCCAGCCACACCCAGGCCTCACAAGGAATAGGCATTCTCTGACACTTCAAGATATTTTTAAAAAGTGTTTAAAACCTAATGAAACATTTATCTTTGATCTGTCATGAAATGTTTGCTTTTGGTTTTGAAGTTTTTTAGATGCTCTATGGTGGCAAAATCCATTTCAAAATTAAATACTGCTGTATTTGTATTGAAAAACACAGATACTTTATGAGGGAAATGTTGAGAGGCATTCTTTCTATCAGAATATTTTGTTGAAATCAGCACAAATTCATGCAACTTCTGTGCAACCCAAAAAATACTTTTTTCCCCCCTTTTTTATGTCCTGCATAATAAGTTTCATCTGAAAACAAAGTCCATAACTTTCTGAACAAAGGGCTACAGTTAAGGCCTAGTGACTGAATTCATAGGATGAGCAGGTAATACATGCCAGCCCAAAGGAAAAGACAGGAATCTATCAGGACAGAGGAGGATGGGGATTGAGCTGAGCCTTGCTTAGTACCTATGCCCTTAACGTTTTGCTTGACCTCAACATCTTATCCCTGCTCTCACTGCCACACCAGCTGCATAAAACATATCCATGTACCATATTCAGCTGATTTCTCCAATGCACTCCATAAAAGAAGAGGCTTTGCATGAGGCAGTCCGAATGACATGTCGCCTTGATTATACAGCGCATGATAAGTCTTCCATTACCAGTTTTGCTGATTTGCATTTTGCAAATCTTTCCTGCTACATGAAATTGTATTCTTTGTCTGGTGTGTGCGTCAGCAGCTCTGTGTCTTACCTTTCAAAACATACTAGGGATGGGAAGCAGGATTTTTCATTTGAGAAAAATACTTTCTTTGCAGAAAAAAAGGGGTTTGTTCTCAGGCAAACAACTGAGGAAATTATTCTGCAGGCCGCTTCTGCTTCAGCCAGACATACAATGCCATATGGGTGATATCATGCATTAGTCCTGTATAAATAAAAGCCCTTTAAAACTTCTGGCAACATTTGTCTGCTACAGGCCACCTGACCAGGAAGACCGAGCAGATGAGGCCCTCTATAGGCAGATAGGGGCAGCCTCAGGTTCACAAGCCCTGATCCTCATGGGGGACTTCAGCCACCCCAACATCTGTTGGAGGGACACCGCAGCAGAGCGCAAGCAATCCAGGAAGTTCCTGGAATGTGTCGATGATAACTTTCTCCCCCAAGTGATAAAGGAGCTCACGAGGAGAGGTGCCATGCTGGA